GCAGTGTTTTGTGTGAACTAGAAAAAGGTGGTGCCCCCAGCTGTGTGCCTGGCTGCCAGAAAACTGTCCTCACTACAAATCTGAGTCCACAACTAGAGGGGCCACGGTTTTTACTGCCACCCTGGGTAGACCCCAGTCCCTCTTCCGTGGCCCTAGACAGCCTCTCCCTGTGCCGGAGTCCTGCCCCCGTGGCCCTGCCCAGTGCTGGGCCAGTCTGGGCTCCATATCCCTGTTCCTATACCCAACCCCATGCACAGACCTGTCCTAACCCCCGTTTCACCTTGCTAGGTGCCCCCTGATTTCCAGCCCTGGAGGCCCTGCCTCTTTCCATGGCCCTCCCCTCCCCCCCCAATCTCCCTGCTTCTTCTGACCTGTCCCCTTATCCCCCCCAGTGCTGTCCCTAAAACAGCTCCTGTTGCCTGCGGAGGAAGACAGTGGGGCGGGGCCTCCCCGAGAAGGGGATGGGGTCCCGGGTGGTGGCCCCCTGAGCCCAGCACAGACCCAGGAGGTCCAGGAGAAGCTGCTTGGCCTAGAGGAGACCATGAAGCAGTTGGAGGTATGGCGAGTGGAACCACGCGGTCAGCCTGGGCAAGTTGTGGGGGGCTGGCTCAGTGGGGGACCCTTCTTACTGATGACCCTTCCCCTCTCCAGGAGCTGGAGGAGGAATTCTGTCGCCTGCGACTCCTCCTGTCTCAGCTTGGTGGGAACACTGTTCCCCAGCCTGGCTGCACCTGAGGCCCCTGCCCTAGGCAGGTGAGTGGGGGTGAGAAGGTGGGCACTGCTGTGGGAGGCGGGGACTGAGTGGGCACCTCAGTTGCTCCCCTCTCTACAGCCCCATCTCTGTTTTCTTTGTCTTTCCAAATCTCCCCACTTCCATCCCCCATCTCTACATCTCTGTCTCTGCTTTGGTCATATTCTGCGTATCTGGTCTTGGGCTCTTACTCTGTCTGCCTTCTGTCTCTCCCCCTGCTCCTCTCCTGTTGTGCTCTCTCTGTCTCTCTCTCTGCCTCCCTCTCTGTGTGTCTCTGTCTCCCTGTGTGTCTCTCTCTCCGTCTCCCCCTCTGTGTGTCTCCTTCCTTCTCTCTCCCCCTCTCTGTCTCCCTCCCTCTCTGTTTTTTCTCTCTCTGTCTTCATCTCTCTCTCTTTCTCTGCGTGTTCTCTCTGTGTGCCTGTTAGTTTCGCTTTCTCTCTCTGTCCTGTCGTCTTCTGCACCCCCTAGGCCTTTTGCAAGAAGGATGAAGAGGAGCAGGGTGGGGGGAGAGGACATGTGGGGCTGCCTCCTTGCCCACCCGCACTGCTGCCACAGCATCTCCACACCCCAGGGCCTGAGGAGAGGGCCGCTGCCGGGGCCACGCCTGAGAGGGTCCTGTCCGGGGTCACTGCCTCCCCCACCCTCTCCCTGGCCTTGGTCTTCTCTCCCTCTTGCCTTCTGCTTGGGGGACTCAGGGCGTCATTCCAGGGGGTACCATAGTGACCCCCATTTTCTGGGCCATCTCAGTATTGCCTGGGGGGGCCACCCTTCTACCCCCCATCCCCAAGTGCCTTTGCTGTTTTTATACCCTGAATCGGAGGTTTATTTTTAATATATATTATCTAAGGAGCAGTGTGTGTGTGTGTATGTGTGCGTGCACGCACACACACGGGGTGGGGCGGGCGGGGGTCCTTAGTGTGTCTCCCCGGGGTGCTCCTTGATGACCCGCCCTGGCATTGCCGTTCTGCGGCCCCACCATGTGGCATCTATCTAGATCCCATGTCTTTCTCCAGTTCATTCACTTAACAGTCCCCTCCCATGATACCCCATCATACACACACTGGGTGCAAGGAGTCTCCCCCATACCCCCTGCCACCCCCTGGCCCCCCAAGTCAGCCCAGACATTGAGGGGCACTCCACCTCCCACTCATTTCTGTTTTATTTTTGTAGTAAACTCTCTGGAGGTGGCTGTTGGGGGTCATGGTGGTGGGTGGGGTGAGGGCCCCTCCTGGGTGGGGGCTGGGGGCGGGGTTATTGCTCTGAGCTCCCTGTCCCCAGGGGGGCCTGTGTGGGGAGGGTGTCAGGACCAGGGCCAGCACGGGGTTAGAGACATGGCCACACAAACACACAGGTCACAGCACAGGGGTGGGTGGGCAGGCTGGGCGCCATATTGCACTTTGGGAGTGGGGTCAGGCAGGGACCCCCCCTCAAACTGGAGCCTGGGGAGGAGGCTGGGGGCCATCACGCTCCCTGTCCCCTCTGTGGAGGAAGCGGTGAGAACCCCATTCTGCGATTGGGGGAGGGGACCGGGAGCAGAAATGTCCCTGGCCTTGGGGGGTGCTGAGGGCTGGGCCTGGGCCTTGGGGGCAGGTCCAGCAGAGCCATCGAGGCAGGAAGAGGCTGCCTGGGCTGTGCCTGGTGCCCACCTCAGCAGAACCCATCGCTCCCTGACGGCTCAGCTGCCGGGACTCCCTTTGCCGGCCTTGGCCTTGGGGGCTACGGGGAGGCCCTCATCACCCTCGCTGTCCGAGCTGCAGCCACTGACGTCAGTGATCTCCAGCTCCGAGTCGCTGTCCTTCCCGCCCAGCGTGGCCTCCGGACCCCCAGCCCCTGGCAGTGCCAGGCGGGGGGCCACTGCCAGGCCTGAGGGGCGCTCAGGGCCAGGACCCTCCCCTGCCGCGGTCAGCAGGGGTGCAGCGGTGGGACCTCCCCCTGCCCCTGCTGAGGGCAGGTGGCCCAGTGAACTGGCCAGAGGGTTGGGGTAGAAGTGTGGGGGGTAGAGAGAAGGGGGAAGCTTGGGGAAGGGGCCGGTAAGGTATGGGTTAAAGTTCCACGGGTACTCTGGGAAGGCGCGGCCATAAGGACCCAGCAGGCCTGGGGGCTTGGAATAGCCAGTGGCACCTGGTGGGGGACAGGGGTGTCAGGCTGAGTCGCCCCACGTGGGGACTAGGAAGGGCGCCCCTCCACACCAAATTTCACCCTGTCCTCCCATCATCCTTCCCACAAAGCATCTCCCCACCCTCACATGCCCCCCAGCAACTCTGCTTCCCACCATCCCCCCTCCCCCCGAGTCTCCCTATCCTTTAGGACCCCCAAACGCCCTGCCCTCAGCCTGCCCCTCTTTCTCCTGTCTCTCCCCTGTTTCTTCATCCTCTTCCCTCAAACACATGCAGCAGCCCCCCCATCACCACCCACCCACCCTGGCACCTCTGTGCCCTCACCAGAGCCCAGGAATGGGAAGGGGCTGTCCAGCCGCAGTTTGTCCGTCTCGGGGGTAAACAGGGGCGTCCGGGCTCCTGGCTCTCCCAGCCGGGGGGCAGAGAACAGGGTCTGCAGGGTCTGTGGCAAGAGGCAGCAGTACTGCTTAGTGTGGCAGGCCCCCGGAAAAACACCAGACACCCCAGTTCAGACCCCCACATCCTAACTCACCTCGGGGGTGAGGGGAGGAGCATCGGGTCCAGGGGTGCCCCCAAAGGGACCAGGGGTCAGCAAAAGTGGGGAGCCAGTGGCAGCTGCTGCCACGTCCAGCAGCGGGTAGTTGACAAGCACGACTTTGCTGAAGTTGAACTTGTAGGTGAACCGTTTGCCCTTGGTCTTATGGAGAATCCGCTTGTTGTAGTAATAGCTGTGGGCAGAGGAACATGGGGGCTGCTAGGGAAGAGGGTACCTAGGAGGGGAAGGGCGAGCCTGGAGTGGGGTCTTGGGTTCTGAAACATGCACAGAGCTCAAAGAAGTCTTAACCAGAGAGTAAGGAAGGGATCAAGCAGGAGCTGGGGCCTGTCCCGTGTGGTTGCAAAGCCTAGGGCTGGCTTCCTGCCTTCCACTCACAAGGAGTTATGAGTAACTGTCACAGGTGCAGAGCCTGGAGGCTGGGGATACAGTAGGATTCGGGCCCCCCCCCATCCCCCATGATGAGAAAGCCCCCAGTGGCCTTGGGATGGGGGCAGAGAGACAGACGAAGAGGGGAGAAAGGAACAAGAGGAAGAGTCCTTACCGCAGGGCCCGGCTCAGCTTGTCGTAATTCATGTGGGGCTTGCACTTGCGGATGCCCCAGAGCCGAGCCACCTCGTCAGGGTCCTTGATGACGAACTCCCCGTAGTCCCCCTGCCAGGCGATGACACCCTGGTACTCCTCCTTCTGCAGCAGCTCCAGAATAAAGTGCCACAGCTGGATCTGCCGCGAGCCGGGGGACGACTCAGGCTTGTAGGCCCAATCCGGGAAAGCAAACCCTGGGGACAGAGGCAGGGGAGTGGCCCCAGGTCAGGCCGCTAAGTCCGGGCTCTGGGTCTTGGTGGGATTAGGGAACGGAGGCATCCAGTCCTGACTCCAGGCCTTGGACAAGCACAGCTGCAGACATCTTTAGACACCAGGCTCCCACCCTCCAGACCCCTACCCTTGATGTCTAGTCTCACATAGTGGGGGAGAACCCAGTCATCTGGAGGCCTGGGGTGGTACTTCTGCCTGACCCCCCTACTTCAGTGTTCCCAGGAGTGAAGGTTGAGAAACCAGTTTCTCGCATCCTTGACTTGGTGGGGAGGGACCCCCTCCACAACATCACCCCTTCTCTCTGCCACCCCCAGCCCTGCACAGTGAAGTCTCCGGTCTCTCCTGCCCCCTGAAATGTCCCTGTCATGCTGTCTCCCCTCCTTCCATCCCTTGCCCCCTGCTGTCTCCTCATTCCCTAGGGACCCTGCTGGCTACACCCCAGCACATCCAGCTGTGTGCACATCTGTGTCTTTGTGCTTATCTACCTGTCCTGGCCCCCAGTGTCCCATCCTCTGTCCATTGGCGAGTGAGCGGTTCTGTGTGTGTGCGTGCGTGTGTGTGTGTGTGTGTGTGTGAATGAGCATGCATGCACTCAGGTGCACATGGCAGACATGTCACAAACACCCATTCACGCACAGAAGACACCTGGTTACACCGTGTGGCACAGATACACCTGGAGTGGCACACGCCTGCTGGGGCATGCCATACACAGTGCACCACTGAGGCAGCCACATCAGACATGGGGCTGCCCAAGACGGGAGCCGTGCCCTCCCAGCTAGCCAGCATGCACACCTGTCACCACACAACAATTACATGTCTCCCCAGGGTGCTCAACTGGGGACCATTACAACCCAACTGCATGACACAGATACACGTAGGACCACGAAGGCCCAAATAACACAAGAGTGTGATGGAGACGGTGAATGCAGCATCAAGACATTGCAGTGAGCCTCGGACACTCACACACACAGCCTGACAGGCACCCACAGGTGACACCATGACAAAACCACCTCCCAAACACAGATACTAGGTGTCACCATCCTGGGATACCCACAGCTCCCTCAGCATGACACATCTCCCACTCAGATGGGTATCCCACATCCCATATCCAAACACCCCAGCAGCTGGGTGAAAATAGAAGGGGGGGGTCTTACCTGCCCCCATAGCTCACCTCCCAACCGCAAGGCCCCAGATTCTGGGTCCTGCCTCAGGGCTCATTCCCAGGCCGCATCCTCTGTCCCTTGCCCCTCCTCAGAGACCCCAGACCCAGGCAGGAAAACAGAAGCAGAATTAGTCCGTAAGAAGGTAAGGGCAGTGTGAGAAGAGTGAGGTTGAAGTGAGTCCATGGGCATGTAGGTGGGGCTGGGCCCTGAGCCCCAACACAGGGGCCATGGAGCACCCACTCACTCAGCCCCAAATGCACCAAGAATGTCACGCCATGCGACAGATCCACAAGGACAGAGAAGCCACCGTGCCCCACTGAGGCAGGTATCCACTGGTGAGCAGAGCAGGCCCCTGCCCAGTCCTAACCTGCAGACAGGCCAGTGCCCCAAAGAAGCATGACATGTCTGTCCAGAGGCACTCAACAGCCTCAGATGGCACGTAGGAGCAGGTACGCACTCACAGAGATGGCCCGATGCCGAATGACACACTCGCCCGGAAACACTGAAGTGTGACCAGGCACAGTCTCTCTCTCTCTCTCTCACACACACACACACACACACACACACAGCCTGTCTGTGGGGCATGGACTCAGGCTCCCAGCCCACTTTGCTCTCCACTTCCCCAGTTCTGAGCATCCACTTCCAAGTGAGATGTCTGCTCTTCCCTCTTCCCGGCTCAGCTGTTCAGGTCATGTCTCCATGTCCCCCTGCTTGGGGTGTCCTGTCTACACGCCTGGCCCAGTGTCTCCTGCAATCCCCAGTCCCTGTGTCCACAGCACCTGTCTCCAGCCCCCCTGCGTCTCCTTGCCCATGGGTCTAGGTGGGAGCTGAGGCCCCCAGACCTCAGTCACTCTCTGGCCTTGTATGCCCGCCCCCCCCTCCCCCGCAGAAGACCGCCCCCATCCTCCTGCAGGCAGGTGGCAGGGAGAGCTGGCTGGGAAGTTTTTAGCCAAGTTTTTCATTAAAGGGTTTTATTTCGGGGACTCTGAGTGAGACCGGAGAGACGCAGGGAGGGGGGAGAGAATTGGGGGGGAGCTCACTGAGGGCTGGGAGAAGGGATGGGGCTGGGGTTCAGGCCAGTTACCAGGGGTCCAGAGAGCCGGCAATGCAGGCGGGGCGAAGAGAAGGTCCGAGACACAGCTACAGTCCATGGCGGCGCCAGCCCTGCACACGGGCCAGGACAGACGGACAGGGCGGGCAATGGGGAGAGACACGGGTCAGTGGGGTGCTGCCCGGGCCCACCCTGGCCTCCACCGGCCACCATCTGCCCCCTCCCCTGCCACCCACGCCTTCCCGCCCATGTTGATGTCCGGGGCCCTCAGCCCCCCACGCCCGGCCCCTGGCCCAGCTTCTCCCGGCAGCCGCTGCCTCCTCGCTCTCCGGCCTCAACCACAGCCGCTCCCAGCTCCCTCCTCGCTTCGTCCTCCCTCCCTCCCTCACCCTCGCTGGCTCTCGCCACCCTCGCACTTGCCCCGTCCCTGTCCCTGCCACTGTCTCCCGGTCCTCTGTCTGTCCGTCCTGCTGGCTGGCTGCTGACCCCTCCGCGCGTCTGTCCCTGCGTCCCTGGGTCTCCCTCCGTCTCTAACTGGTGGACTCAGATTTATCTCTTTCGGAAACGCGCCCCCACCCCCCGCCCGCCCAGCTGACCCCCAGGCGGCTACCCAGCCCCACGCATGCATCCCTGGCTGGGCCACCCCACCCAGCAGCACCCAGCACCCTGCGCGTGTGATTCCACGACACAACACCTCTCTCCTTAAACCTTCTGGTCAGCCCTCAAACCCCTCTCCTCAGACACCCCTTCACCCTGGGATCAGCCTGTCCCCCCACAGCTCCCTCAGACACCCCTTCATCCTAGGATATGTCTGCCCCCTCATAGTCCCCTCAGACACCCCTTCACCCTGGGATATGCTTTCCCCATCAAACTCCTTCCCTCAGACACCCCTTCAGCCTGGGAAGTGCCTGCCCCCCTCAAACCCCTCCCTTGAGACACCCTTTCACCCTGGGACGTGCCTGCCCCAAGAGGACAGCCCCTCAGACACCCCTTCCTCTTTGGCTGTGCCTCCCTCCTTGGACACCCCTCCCTCCCATACTCCTTCCCCTTCACAGATACCCCATCCCCCTAACACATCCCATCCCCTCGCCCCTTTCCCCCACACAGTCCTCCCTCTCAGACACCCACAGCCTCAGAATCTACTCCCTTCAGATGCCCACCCCAGACACGCTATCCCTCAGACACTGGTCTTCAGACCCAAACTCAGACACAAGCTCCCGCTCAGAGACCGCTCTTCCTCAGACGCCTCACCCCTCCTGCTCCACCCCTTCAGACCCCACCTCTGAGACGCAGCACTCCCTCAGACTCCCTGCTCTCAGCCACCGGCCCCTCAACACCACCCCCACAAGAGACTCCCAAACAAGCAGATTCCCCTCAGACACCTTGCTCCCCAAAGATCTCCCTCAGAAGCCCCTCAGATCTTAGGAGCCCCACAGACACCCCATTTCCCCCATCAACCTCACCTCACCCTTTGAACACTGATAAGACTTTCCAGATACCCCATTACCCCTCAAACTTGTCCAGTCTCCTCTCAGACACCTCAGTTTCCTCCAGCCTCCAACCTCGCCATAGCACACCCCCTCCTGGTTGCACAGGCTGTCCCAGCCCTCACCCCAGCCCCC